GTGGCAGTCTTTGGTGATCTGTTCCTGTGTGGCTTGGTGGTTTATGGATTGCTATATCTGGCTGCATCTGGAGCTGCATGGAGTGGTATACATGCCTCCTGTGAAAGACTGAGCAGTGATACTATTACAAACACCTTATTCCAATAGTGACCTCCTATCCGACTGGACTTATTTAAATTCACTGGTTCTGATCTCAGATTGCCATCACTTGACTTGCCTTGTTCTTCTGGGTTTCAATTGCTGTTGCTTACCGTTCGCCATGTTCTTCTGCATACATTTATTAAAGTATCACCCTGCTCTGTATTACTGCATGCGTTATTACTGTTGTTACTGTTTCATTTCCCTTACACTTTATTCCCTGGTGTTTAAAAAAATCATTTCCTATTTTGCAGCCTCAACCTTGCCCTGGTGGGTGTGTGAAATACACTAACTAAACTCAGGCTAGGCATCTAGCCTGCAGTGTTATGGATACCTCATTTCTGATCAGCCTGATCTGACCCAAACCTCTTACTCCATCTTTACAACAACAAAATTCACGTTTGCAGGATCAAGTCTCCAAAACTTGCTCCTTGTAACAACTTTATTTATCAAATATAGCATTAAGTAAACCCTACTGAATATTTTTATTCAAATGTTAATTAAATCATTTTTATATTTTGTGAAGAAGTTGTGATACCACAAATGTCTCAGAAAATGACTACTACTTCAAGATACAGTGAACTCATCAATCGAGCATGGAAATCAAAAAGACTGTCTATGCAAAGGAAATACTCATTTGATTAAGAAAAGGATTACATATTCATTTCAATAACTGGAATAATGCTCTGAAGAAAGACACTTTATCATGTACAAATGTTTCTCTTATACAGGCAGTCCTCGACTTACAACTGTTCGAGTTAGGACAAATAGTTCTTACGACCTTTGCAAATTGCGACACTGTTTCAAGGTTCCTACCGGGTTTTGACTTTACTACATTGGACACAGCTGCCTCCAGCTGGTAAGTATGTTGTGGTGGGGTGTGGGAGGGCAGATCGATGCCCTCGCAGAGATGTAGGGATTGGGGCTGAGGCTGGGACAGAGGCTGCCCATCA